CACTAAACTTAAAATTTATTACGCATTATTTCAATCCCACTTGAGCTATTTTCACCTTGTGTGGGCTGCTACAACAAAAACAAACCTTAAAACATCCTATTACTACAAAAGAAAATAATCCGAAATATTGCTGATGTTTCCTACACAGACCACACAGAACCCTTATTTTTAAAATATCAAATAATTCCGGCTGAACGCTTGTATGAGTATCGTTTGCTTTGTTCCATTCGTTTCTCCTCCACACTATTCATCGATTTCTTATTAACTATTTCTGAGCTTGTAAGGCATAGCAGTGATGTCAACATACGCCGCAGAGAGCCATGGGCCCTCCCTTGTTCCCGCACAAACTACAACTTAAACTCTTTACATTATAATGTACCACTTGTTTTAAATAAATTCCTCACAAACAACATAAACATATACACGATGAGCAAACAAGACTTGCGCTCTTATATCTTCGTTGTTCCCTAACTTAGTGTTATAATGTTTACAAAGTTCAAATGTTACGCTAGTAGAGTGTTGCGCACTACCAAGCTGCTGCCAATGTAATTTAATAAGGGTCCCAGACCCAGTCAAGCTGTCTCAACAGCTTTTTGTCTGGGACTCCTTGCAGTGTTTCTTTAAAATAAAGCTTTGATTGATTGATTGAAAGGCTGAATACTCGCCGGTGTATGGAAGTCATCCAGACGGCAGTATCTCGCTGCTCTGGTGCCGGTGCCCCCATGAAACGAGAGTGATTCAGACGCGCACACAACTCACGGCACTCGACGTCAGGATCGAGTGGTTTCCTTTTCGAGAAAAGCAGGGGCCTCGGAATACAGCCACGGGCATGTGCGTCGTCTACTTAGCCGACCAAGATTAAAGTGCCTCAGGCAGACGGAGCCAACCAAGTTAACGGTCTCGCCGGCAGAAGAAACCAGACGCGTCGGAATGCAGCCAGACACAACTTATCATCGGCACGGTTAATTCTTGAGCATTGTTTCACTTTGAAGCCATAAGGCCGATTTCAACACCAGACATAACAGAAGGCAGTTCACAACACGGTCCGTCTGCTCGAAACTTTCACGTTGCGAAGTCTTCGCTTCGGGGACGCCACTTTGCCAGACAGACACTGCGGCTTGTACTTCGCGACAGTACGGTCCCACACTCCGGTGTCGTTACTGACCGTCTCCAGGACTTCACGGACCGACGTTTCCGGGAAACGCATTCTTGAACTCGCGTACACGTTGGCGATCACCTGCTTGCATTCTTTCGAGATCTTCGCACAGCACAGGATAGCAGGGTAGGAGAGGACATGACGTCTGCCGCGTAGCCTCCATAAGCATGCTCCCTTGACGCCTCACCTCTTTCTCATTTTCCTCCTTGCTCTCCTCACTTACAGGCCAACGTGACCACATCACGTGACCGTAGCTAGCCTTTGTTTGGCCTTCGATCTGATAAAACCTGGCGGACGGAGCGTGCGCAAGCTTGCGAGGAATCCTTTTTCAATCAACCATCCATCTCACATGTGACATGTCACGCGCACCAATTGCCAGAGAGATCTACGGTCACGTTGGCCACAACATCGTTTAAGCATTTTATGACTAGGCTTCACCAATATTGCAACGCGCCCCTTCCCAGTACTTATAACCTCCTTGCCGCAGGGGGAGCCGCACAACCCGAAAACCAGAAGCGGCTGTTGCACGGACGAAACCGGGAAATAATTTACAGCAGTTTGCATTATCTTTTCCTTTTACTGAAAAAAAATTGGTGTTCCGTCGAAATCATAACGCTAGTATCAGTTACTAGCTCCGAAGATGCACATTTTTCGACTTTTTGTTTTTCTTTTGCAGGGCAGCACTATTTTGTGGGGCGAACGTAGGCGGTCGGCAGTACAAACCGGTGAACTAGCTTTGGCTGCTTTGCACGCTATGTATGAAGCGGAGGGGACGTCCCTGGCAACATTTATCACATGATGTCACTGTGGAATGAACTGGTATTCTTTATCTGTAAGTGTCGCCTTGAACAAGAAACTTTACCACGCTGCTGAATGAAAAGACGATGCGTACTTTCGTTGTAGGTTACCTCGTTGAAGATCGTGCGGGCGGTGCCATTTCGAATATTTAAGAATAGTGGACCACCTGAAGCATCCTGAAACACATGTCTTATTATCTTCTGTTCCGGTTGAAAAAAACAATACGGTGGCTTCCCTTTTGTGAAGCTCCTTCCTGCCAACCCTCCGCCACCGGCGCATGGATTGCAGTCCTCAAGTTTCGCATCATCCAAAAAGAGACCTCGTGGATTGCGACCTGATATTGCCGGCACAGGCGCGAGCTCTCCGAAAAATAGCGCGCTCGAGACGAATCGCAGGTGTACGAAGACTGTGTCGGCACAGCGAGGCCACGTCTGGTCTCCTTCCTGGGTTTCGGATCACCAGAGCCGCGGGTCGCGTTCACGTCGGCTGATGACGTACCCTTGAGCCGTGCAATATTACCGGCGCAGACGCAGACGGCTTCAAATATATGTTGAAGTTCACTGCGTGAGTCATGCTACTATTTCAAATGAACAGGCTCGTGCTGCGACGGACTGTGACTCAGTTTTGAGGCTTTGCCGGCTGGGTGCACTGTGTACGCTAAGGGAAGAGAGACGGTTAGCAGTGGGCATTGGATGCGACCGAACAATGACTCAAGAAGTCCCTACCTAAGGAGTTGCGGCAGAAGATGCTCTGACTTAGGCAGGCTGAAGTGAGGGTGGGCGCAAATGCTAGATCGGGGATCACAAGATATATGGACGCCATTTAATTGCTAAATTTTGCTGGGAGTCTACGGGGCAAAAGGTCATTTTATTTCCTAACTCAGGCCATAAGAGCTCATTGATGTGCATGAATAATTTCCGTAAGGTGTGAATGATGATCTTTCCATAACCACCAGTTTTATTCCGATAGGTGAAATATTTATTTAACGCAAAAAACGGTAAACTTAGCCATCTCGGACGATGCTGCTTGTCTGGCAACCCTGCTTTCTCCTTTCGACGTTTGCGATTCCCGGAGCGAGAAAGAAGCGAGAAAGGCTACGTCAAGGCGTTCGTTGCTGCAATGGAAGGAGATAGGAGGAAAGGCGCATGGGTCAACAGAGTTGCAACAAAGCGGGCGTCTGCTCTCGTGCAGGCAGCTTTGGCGCATATCCTTTTCCAATCCTTGCTTTCAGGCGCCTCCATTAAATTGCAAACACTCTGCACGATTTCAGTTGCGCCCACCGTCACTGGAGCCGCCCTACTCTGAGTCCACTCCTGGCACGCCACCTGGTTTGAATCCCCGACTACGCAACACTTCTTAGAGGAGAGAAGAGGGCTCATAGAAATATAGTTTAGGGAATCGAACTGAACCTTGGTCAGCATAGTAACAATGCCCCATCATCTCCCTGACCCTAATGCCCTAAAAAAAATAATTAAGCGTTTGTACTTGTATTTTTTTTCAGGGGGGGGGGGGGGGGATTAATTTTCAAGAAATGTAACGAAATACTTTTCATCATGATTGTATCGCGATACCAAGAAACATTCCAAATGTATTTCGATACAGGAATACAGATACTTGTGAAAAAAATGTATCGCGATACAGAAATACAGATACGAAATGTATTTCCGAAATACTATATTTGTATCGCGATACTGCCAAAGTCTGCAGGGTGGTAATTGTTTTCTACAATGGTGCTTAGCACATTTTGCGCTCAGCAAAGATATCACTTTAAGAGAACCATAAAGAAGAGGACTCGCGTCACCAGCACCAGAAATTGCCCTCAATGGGCTCTCACTGAACTCGGATGCGGAGATAGGTACTTCTTATATGCTCAGCTACTTGAACTTCCGAGGTGTGGGTCCGGCACCGAGGCCTTAGAATTTTAAGAGGCCTTGAAACCTCTTAAAATTTCTTAGAAAGAGAGAACACACTGGCACGCTGGCGCCACCTAGGCAGTGACCCTGGAATTGCATTACGCTAGGGCGAAGGTTTTGCGGAATTTCCGAGCTCAAAGGTGCGTAATGCCTGAGAAGCTGCGTTTATGACGTTGACAAAAACTTTTCAAGCCAAGAGGGAGAGGATGGTGCGCGAGAGAAATAGAAAATATGCGGTACCGCCAAGTTTCCCCTGCTACCCAAGAGATAGCACCAGTGTGCCCTCTCGTTCTAAGAGATATTAAGAGGTTCCAAGGCTCTGTGGCTTAAGAAGTCTCAAGTGTGTGAACGAGCCTTTATGTTTGTTTGCTAGTTTGTTTCACTCGGCTGGTTGTGGGGTTGACGGGTGGAGTCTCTGACGATGTGGGGTGTTTCGTTGTATGCAAGCTCTCGTAAAAATAGGCTTTTGTCCGTGTCTTTTGTTCCCCTTTGTCTTGGTATTCTCTTTCAGCAGGACCGTGCACAATCTCGCCTGCGCCTAAACTCTTACTTCAAGCACATCTTGATGGGTTAAGATCAGAAGAGTAAATGAGGCGGAATTTGTGTGCGGTGTTTTGCGCGCGAGACGCACTTCCTTAGTACCATCCTTTTATTACTGTGTAGCACCCGACAGGACTACTCGGCCACTGCAATATGACAAACGTAAAAAGCACAGGCGCCTCAGCGTACATGGCAGAGACGACGACGCATGTTGTCGCCGGCGCCGGTGTAGATGAAGACGTGTATCGGTGCCCTTTCGCCTGCCACCTCTCAGCCTTAGATCCACTACCTCACTCTCCGGCCAGGGAACCCATTTTACAGCTATCAAGGCAAACATGTGTGGAGATTAAACAATTTGCGTCTATCTTTCGGTATCGTCAATTGTTTCTACTGTCAAGGACATTCGAGTTTTGTAAATACGTTTACACGACTCCTCCTGGTTTACTGTTCGCCGTTCGTGTTTTCGTCATGCCGGCAGAATGCCAGCTCTGTTGGCACGCTCGGGACTGCCTACGCCTATTGACAGTTACTTTTTGCGTGCGCCAAGGACGCCCAAGTGCGCCGCGCAGATAGGGATGAAGCCATTTTTATCGTTGTCGTTGCACAACTCGATTTTTCTTCGTTGAGCCCATGATAGCGACAAGCTCTGCCGTCTGGGTCACTTTGTCGTGGCGCGTCACGGGTGAAAAGTAAATTAGTTCGGACATCGACTCGACCATGCTGCAAGCGACGCTGGCTTTGGTGTTTCTATTGATTTTTCTAATTTTCTGGTAAGTCAGTTTCTCAGACTCTTTCTGCACTGCTCGCTTCTATAAAAAAAATGTATTACGCGCAGTAGCTTAGAGGGACTTTTTGGATGTGCAACAGACTGCGAAGTAACGCCTGAAGCAAGGATAACATCATTGTTATTTGAAACGTATTTTTGGTAACTTTATCTGTCAGAAAACTTCGTCAGGAATAAATTGAAAGTAAACCTATCGCACAACGAAGAGCTTGAATCAGCAACGTTGCTAAAAAAAAGACATATAAAGACAAATAAGTTCCTGGTAAACGTCAATATTTATGAGTGCACAGTCGAGTGATCGGAGATTTTGTTCACTCCCAAATTGTGTCAGAATAAATGTGCTCTGAGCACAAGCATTCCAACAGTAAGCATAATTTTTGCTTTACCGTGTAAAAACAGCGTCGAAGTATATGACCCTCGAGCTATCAAATGCGTCTCCAAGAAGACAAAAAAAAATGCAATAGGTCCTTTTTTTTTGGGGGGGGGGGGGGGGGATGGGGGAGGGGGGACATGGTTTCTTTTTTTTACAAAATTATTAGTTTTCTTTTTATAATGGGCCTTTTCAACTCTCATATATTTCGCCATCAATGCCCACGAAACAATAAAACTAAAGCTCCTAATTTTTCTTGCTCCTACTTCCTGGCTTTTCTAAAGTCCGCTATGGTCCCGGTAGGCTTAAAGAACGCACGGGGCGGCGATTCCCGAGAATGTCATTAACGCTTCACAGCCGATGAGATTGCGACAATAGTCGGTAAGGACCCCGAAAAATGAATCGCGAAGCAAGGAACGTTAAGATAAAAAGTCGGGCCCCATGGGTTTCAGGGACGCTGGGAGAAGGTGTGTGAAATGCATGGTGGTCTGTTCGGATGACTTCCTTTGAAACCTCGGTTTTTATTAAATCTACATGGGCATTGCCCTGAATCCTGCAGAACTACTTGCACCTAGGCACCTGTGCCACGATGAAAAATATTGGTTATAGGTACTGAAATGCGAGCGATTCCTTCTCGCAGCTTTGTGAAGTACAATTCTTGTTGAAGCAGTGATATTTCTCTCTGAATGCGACTGTACATTTTTTTTTACGGTGTCTGTTTCAATACTAAGATCATTCATCGCCGCTTTAGGTGATTACGTTTGTAATGCAATTATGCTTGACATCTCATTAGGGATGCTTATTTTTTCAGGGTAATAAGAAGAACCTATAGTTTTTGGAATGGAAAAGGAATTCCATATCTGTCTTTTACCGACTACGTGAAGTTGGTATACGATAATTTCACAAAGGTAAAGGTGTACTTTTTATTTGATTGTAAACCTTGATACACTCTACGAGGTTATGTTAGACTGCGTTTTGCCTTGATATGAGCGGGTCAGAAATATTTTAACATGAAAAAGCTTTCTTTACTACCAGATAAAAAAGCAGGTGCCAACACTATTCTTTTGCACTAATTGAAAATGTCCGGAATAATTATAACTTAAGTGTAATCAATGATCAGACACTTCCGCGCATCCTATTTTGTGAGTTTCGCTAGCGCCCATGAGCTGCTGAAGCTGCGTGCCCTCGTTTTCATATTTGCTTATCATTTGTTTGGGTGCATAAATTACCCCTTGACGTTTAACGTAAAACGTTTTTTCGCCATACCTGTTTTCACCTCAAGAACCGAAGTAAAACAAGTCCGGCTCCTCGCGGAGCATTACTAATTTCCCACTTCATGTGGATAACTAACACATATGTAGGTGCCTTTTAGGTTAGATGTATGTTATCTCATGAAGACGCACACGTTCCAAACGCCAAAAGCATCGCTTTTTCCTTCGACAAGCAAATCTCGTAAGAACTACTTTGCGCCGCGTATGAGCCATGCGCAAAACTTACTTTTTTCTTGAGGTGAAAACGGGTATAGTTGATAAGGAGTTTTTGAATCCCGCAAGGTGAAGCCTGAGAGGCGTGGCCGCGAAGCTCGACGTTGGTTGGTTAACGGAGGACGTGACGTGACCAGAGGGGTAGGCGAGGAAGAGCTCGACAACTTGTGCTCAGTGAGGGAGTAAAGCTCGAGATTGTGGAATGCTTTCGAAGATCACCGGGTTTGTCAGCTCGACCAGAGGACACCATGATTAAAAGAGATAACTTTCGTATCACACTGTTCATAATTTTTAATTTAGATTTTTACCTATGCTTTGAGTTTAAATTGCAGTGAACATAATATTCATATATGTTGTCCGGAGTGTACTTTAAGGGACCAAATTATAGCTTTAATCATTAAAGTTTAGCAGCGCAAGAATGAAACCCTAATATAGAGTTGTCTTCGTGACACTTGGAAAAAATAGTTGAATCGTTTTGCTTCTTTTTTTTTTTTTTTATTAGGCTCGTCCCTTCCAACTTTAAAATGATAGATAGGTCTGAGGAACGGGCTACAATTCTAAAATTTGGAATGGCTAAAACCCCATGAATGTTAGTTTACTATAATTCATTATTCGCCACCATAAAACATTCTGCACTTACAAATTTGTGCCCGTCAAAGAAAAAGTCCGGTTTAGCTGGGTTAAAAGGGATGTGTTTTCCTTCTAATAATTTTTTTTCTCGTTACAGCCCATGCATGAGGTGGCCCTCAAAAACTATCGCCGACGTGGTCGTCTTTATGGGTTTGTTCCTACAATTTTACTTTCTGAACAAACTAAAGAAGTACAAATTAATGATGTTAAAGGCCAGCACGACCTGAACTCCATAATCAAAGATAGGTGATATAGATGAACAGCGAGGAGAAATTGTAAGACGTGAGACAATCCTAATCGAAAGTCATGACACAAATGCATTAGGCTTGCATGAGGTGATCTGACGAGCAGCCAAGCCAATCCAGTACTAATGGGTGGGGCCTGGAGCGGGGCGTGGCGAGTGTACCTCCACCTAAATTGTGTGTTCCGGCGTAAATGCTGTCCAACATTTTTAAGGGTTGATTTTTTACATAAAAGATGACAGGCACATAGAATGTGTGTGTGGGTTCAGTTTTTTTTAAAATTGGCCCCAAGTCCACATTATGCAATTAATACTATTGTATTTATTCGAGCGAGAACACCAATTAAAAATAATTATGAATCACGAAACTTTGCAAGACGAATTAAAGCCGTATTTTGTTTTCGGTAATAAGACGTTTACTTTGTTTTACATATAAAAACACGTTATTCGTTTTAAAAGAGATCGAAGAAAGGCAGTTTGGGAAGCGATTTGTAAACTATTATAAATCTTATAATATACTCTTTGTGAAAGAGTAATATGTTATTATTTCTGTTATATCTACGCTGATCTCTCCACGACCTCGTTCTTAAATGCGTATGCTTTTAAATTTTAACTGTTTAAAACGCTTTATTTAGTCGAAAAATGTGTTATGTATATTTCGCAGCATGCTGGATGGCGAGACAACTTTAACATGAAACCACTGTAAAACTTCGCAAACGACCTGTGTCATATATTGACCTCCAGGATTAAGAATGGCATCCATTCATATTTTTTACCAAATAATTATGGTTAGATCAATATCAGTCTCGAGTTGAACCGCTCTCATTTGAACAGTAATGTTTAGATGTTAACAGGACATTAACAAGTTTAAAAGTGGAATGGACTGGCCCGTACATTTCAAAAACAAGTTTCGAAAAGAATTTGTTACGCTCGGAAGGGCAGTTATCGTTATCATAAGTAAAATAGCTCCTGTTAATTTGCAGCTCCTACGAAGGGTTTGTGCCCACTCTCGTAGTCGGGGATCCACTGCTCCTGCGAGACATCTACGTGAAGGATTTCAAATCCTTCTCGGACAGAATTGTAAGCACTGCCAACTATATTTTCTTGATACTATTCTTAGTATCAGTAGCACGTTAAATTGGGATCCAATTACATTTCTTCCACAAAAGGCGTGTACATAAAATTACTAAAAAAACAAAGCAAACAAAACAACAACTGAAGATTAAAAAATGAAATAAAGAAGAAAAGCGTTTGTCAAAGGAGATGCGTTTTTCTGATTTCCCGGACACTTCACTCTTCGTTTCAGGCATCCAATGCCACGGGAAACCCCTTGTGGGACAAGATGATGTTAAACTCCCCGGAAGAAGAGTGGAAAGCTACAAGAACTATGATGTCACCTGCATTTACAACGAGCCGATTGAAAGCAGTTAGTAACCAGTTTGAGCCCCTTTTGTTCCTAGCATACTTACTTCTTTTCATAAGAAAAAAAAAGTAGCTGACCTAGACGCCCGCACTGTGTGAAACGTTAATTGCGTTGAGTTCTTCGGTAGGTTTTTTTCTGTCTACCAGTTTCGTCAAAATAGATAATTTACCCGTGGATCTCGAGCTTATGGCGGTTAGAACAGCTACTTCTTAGCGCTTGAATTTTTCGTTTTAAAGCCCGATTCGCGTGGTCAGACTTAACTTGCAATTTCGCAGGTGCCGTTGAACACCGCAACTTCCACTGCAATGCATAAAATCGCATTTTGTAACTCGTGTTTTAGACGCCTTTGATATAAAAGAAAACAAAAACTAGAGGCAATAGTGACCAACGTTTTAAGATGATACGGAATGAATCCATATACAGGGATGCCTCGCTAATATGGACACTATATGTGTCCCCCGAAAGCTTCCATATAATGTGAATTTGTCATAATGACGAGACAAAAATGCATTAATATTTTTCCAGTTTGTCCCCGAAAATAATGTCCATATAGCGGGGTATTCATATTGACGAGACATTCCTGTATACCCTGAATAAATTGAGAAATAATTCGCCAAAAAACCCTCTAAATATTTGTATAGTTAAAAAAATACACACAGGCTATAACGACCGGCTTTTTAAGGTTAAAATGAAACGATTTATGAATGGATATTTAAAAAACTACCCCCCCCCCCAAAAAAAAAAAAAGAGAAGAAAACGTGATATTTTAATCTATATATGTCAAAACTGTTTCAATGTAAAACATAAAAAAAAAAATAAAAAGAAAGTGCTGAGAATTATACACTGAACGGACTCTGTCGGGTAAGTTAGATGCGATCCGGAGCGACAAAAGTGAAACGATTGAACATCCTTCTCAATTTTTATGTTTTCATAGCCATTGATTGACGATCGGGTCTGCTTCCGCTTCGTAAACGTCGTGGTAAGGGTACACACTTGCCTGGAAAATTGTTTCTGCACTCAGCGCTGCGTTTTGCTCAAGAACAAAAACCAAAACAAAACAAAAAACGGGTAACCTTGAATGGCGTTTTAAAAATGAAAAATAAGCGGTGTATTCGCAAAAATACACAAAAATACAAGAACTTTTTGTATTGCTTTTGAAACGTTTAGTTCAAGGAACACAAGGCTCGGCGGGTCCTAAAATAGCGTCCTATATACTGACAAAACCTGGCGGATCGTTACGAGAAGCGGCCACTGAAATGGAAAAGGTGGAGCAGCAAAGGACGGATGAGGGGAGAACCACGTGACTGGCGCCCCGCTGCGACGAGGCGTCGAAACACACTTCTCCTGAGCGAAGGGGTGTGTTTCGAGTCCTCGGCCACAGCAAAGGCTAAGCGCTGACGTCCAGGTTCCTCGAGAAATGGCTCTTTGATGCTTTGTGCTACCAGATCCTCGCGCTCCAAATCTGCGAGCGGGCCTCTATGGCTCCGTCGTCGAACTGCCAGGCTTTGTGAGTATGGAGGTGGTAATAATCCTGGCCACCTTACTCTTATTCCGAAAACAGTGAGATTGCGCCAGTGACAGAGAACACCGAGGAAGGAATTAAGACACAGAAAGCTGAAACATAACAAAGTGGTGGGCTGGCAGGCGCTGCACGTAAGGTTTCTCATCTATCTGTCCAGCCCGGCACACCGCCACCTGTGTCCTTGGAAGTGCAAATAAAATTATTGTTATTAATAATAATAATAATAATAATAATAATAATAATAATAATAATAATAATAATAATATTATTATTATTATTATTATTATTATCATTATTATGATTCTTAAGGAACGCCTTGCGTCTATTAAACTCCCGGTGACTAGACACCTTCTTTGAGGAGAAACGTTTTGAGCAATGCAGTCATTATTGGAATACCTTCAAAAATGTTTAGGTAATTAAAAGTGATTTGAAGGACACTGTTAATAGCGGAGACCATTTTGGCGCCCGACGTCAAAATAACTTCGAAATTATTTTGACCTCTATGAGGTTAGTTCCCTAAGACATTAAAATAGTTTTTAAAATATCGTGACGTCCACCGTGGAAACAACAACTTTGTTATTATGACGTCTTAGCCGTTATAGTGGTACGTAGCTGTATCCGTTTCGTTCTATTTGGCAGTGTATACGATGACGGCGGTTCTGTTGTGTTGGCGAAGCCACGTGTCACTGTGTGGCAGGTCTAAAGAAAGCTACGGTTCTACTTGACATTGGAAATGTTTCATTCAGCGAGAGTGTGTTCCTTTGTGCTCGACAGTTCAACGATTTTTTTTTTTCGGCCGTGACAATGATATTGCTGCGTGCGTTGCGCAGCTGGTAACGCACGCGGCCGCCACGTGGATGAACGAGGTTCTATAACTGTATGAACCCCACACGGCACGGATATTTAGTATTAGAATTTGATACTCTTTTGGAAAACTCCAGCACATCTTCGGGTTGTTATCGTGTGTTCTGCTTCGGAACATTTCTGAACTATACCGCGTGTATAAAAGCACCGGTAACGGCCTGGTTCGGACAGTCGCCCTTCCGTCGCCCACGTAAGAAGATGGTACCTTACTGTTTTCGTTTACAGACATGAGTTCGCCTTCCTAAATATCATTTTCTGTTTCAATTTATCTTATATTTTTATTCGTGGCAGTATCGCCCGGCTGCGATGCTGCCGGGGGATGCTGCCTAGTCGTCCTCCGTCGTCCAACTGCCAGGCTATGTGAGTATAAAGGATGCTTTGCGCATGCGCTTCCTGCTACAAAGACGCCGTCCGCGCTCAAACGCGTTCAAAGGCAAGGGTGTTGATGGGCCTTCTTATATAATTTTGAGCCCACAAGAAAGACGAGCTGGACAACTCCATTTTTTGTCTTCACGTAACAAATTGAAGTGCGTAAACTACGTATACCACTGAGAGTTTTAAATATGTTTTGTACATCTATGCCTCCACTACCGCACGAGCGCGTCTTTGAATGGTTGGGAAGTCTCGCTTTGCATCTTGTTCGTGGGTTTGTCGTTTCGTTCAGATTGTGTTCTTCTTCGTGTTGACGAGCCTGGGGCTGCAACTAAGCGAGCGAGACGTTGAATATAGTGTTGCAAACTTTAACATAGCCTCCTTGATGCTTTTTGACCAATACGAACGAACAACGAAGTCTTCAACCCGCCGAGCAAAACTGAATCGCGGTTTAACACGGATTTTCGGACACTAAATGTTGCGCAATCGACTGCAAATTTTATAACCCGATTTTTGAAGAGATTCAGAACTCCTTTTTTCTATTATTAATTGGCGGCGTGCGCGAACTACAGGGGGCGCTTCTGTAGCTCTCATCATCATAGTTTGTGACGTCACGGGTAGAACAGACTGGAACAGATCGCGTAGATCTCGGTTCCCTTTCATGTGCTGTTTGAGAAACGCGCAGCAAAGCCTGTTTCACGCGTTGTATTTATTTGGTGAAGTAATATTTTTAGTAGGACACTTTACCAAAGCTAGAAACCGTGGCGCGCGTTGTCGTGCTGACACGCACTTTTGTCGCTGAGGTGTCGAAGCTTTCGGATGCTGGTGTGCTGTTCTGTATCCTAGTACAAAAAGCTGGATGATGAGAAAAGAATATCCAGCGCTTTACCCAATTACAACATCTACCACGGCAAATAGGGTGTCTTTTTTATTATGATACGGACAAACTTACACTAAGAGAGGAAAATTTTGTCAAATTGCAAATAGAAAAGCGAAATTCGAGAACCTCTTGCATGTGTAGTAAACACTTAACTGAAAGCGACTCCTCCTATCCTGTTGGTACCAATTTAATCTCTGAGCGGTGTCTCTTGTTGGTTCCGAGTTGATTCCTTTTTGAATTTCATAAAGCAGTAAACAAACATTTCCTCAAAATAATTCGCAGGAAGAAGCGGTGGCTAGCTTCTGGAGTCATTTCAATGAAATCCCTGCTTATTCACTCGGTCGATGTGAAACGTGCAAAACCCCCTTGCGATCGAAGCCTTAAATCCAGTAACGCGGTGGCATTTCAGCGTCCCAGAAAATGAGGTATACACCCACTATGAATTACTACCGTTTGTATGTTTCATTTTTTGCGGACACAAATGCGCATAATACGAGATGCGCTTCTCAGAGAGATATTTTAAATTTGTAAACAATATTTAGTTAACACTGTTTAGAACAAATACGTCAATCGCCTGAATTTTCCGGATCATGTCCGACATTTTTAGAATTGATGAAAATTATTTCTTTTTTTTTTTCGAGCAGAAGTCGTAATGTGACAGAAGTCTTTTCCACGTGTTTGGTGCGGGTGGAGCTAAACATCAGTTGCTGACGAGCATTTGCCCGTCAGATACTTCGAGTCACGTTTGGATAGAAGCGTCAGCTTCGGCAGCAGGATGAATGTAGCTAAAACAGTGTGCGGCGCTTTGCATCACAACTGTACGCGCGTGCACAATTAAGAAGACAGCACGTCATTTACTCTGGGGAATGCAAAACATTTTTGTACAACAACCTCCATAGATAAAAAAAAAAGGAATGAGAGAGGTTGTGAATAGCCCTGACGCACGCCTCGGGCTTGTTTTCGGAACATTTTAAAGCCTTTTAATAGAAGAAAGCAACCTCGAGGTGCTGTTATTCATTAGAAAGATCACTCACGAAAACGTCATACACGTTTTCTTTAAATAAATAAGCCGTTTTTAATCGGCATAGGTGCGAACAAACATAGCCACTCCGTGCTTTGACGTATCGCGTCATCTGCTCGCATCCTACCAGTAGCGTCACTGGAGGGCGCCCGCGAGGTCGCGCCTCCAAAACATCTTGTATCCAATAGCGTAGAATAAATCATGCATTCGGTGTTGTTTAGCACAGCAAGTAAATGTTACGAGGGTTATATTTCTAAGTCTTTTTGGAGATTTTGGTATAAAAGCTGAAGTCGATTGAATGGCATTTCTTGTCCGAAAATTGCGCGACGCCGACTGCAAGCAGGGTGATAGTGTTTTGAGCGCAACTTTCGAATGCTTTCCATTCTGACACTCCACAGTTCCCTCCCTTGTTTGTGATGGCAAGTTTGACGGTAGATGTCCAAATAGGGAGACAGATACTTGATGGGGGGGGGGGGGGGGGGGGAGAGAAGGGGGGGGGGGCAGACATATATAAAAAAGATATATATATATTTTTTTTTACACGTCCTCAGGAAGTGGCGTCACAGACGTCAAAATAATAGTGATATCGTTTTGACGGTGGACGTCGAAATACTCCCTACCTCGTTAATAACACGTGTTAAAAGTTATACCATTGCGACTAAATGTAGCGAGCAAAAGCTATGACTGCTTACAGCATATAGTCTGCTTCAGTAAAATAAAATCCCATCGTCACGGTGCTTGGCCGTTTTTGCGCATTTACTCTCGTATCACGCACAGAAGAAAGCGCAGGTTCATGGTGCATTCACTGGAGGTGATTGTTTTAGCCCATGCAGGTAGGAAGCTTCTAGAGGTGACATGACGTCACCAAAGGTGAAGCCAGAAGTGTGGAAAGACACGCCCCCAACAATGACCAAAACCACAGCTGCCTTTGGTCATGCTCGGGAGCACCAGAGCGTGACCAAAAACAGTTGTGGCCATCGTTGGGGGCTGTGTCCCTCCGCACTTCTGGCTTCATCTCTGGTAACGTCATGTCGCCTCCAGAAGCTTCCTACGTACGTGGTTTAGCCGGTAACGGCAGACGCAGAACGACAGCGATTGCCGTGACCATGGTCTTTAACCCACATTGATCCTATCCCATCGTAGCGTCGGCTGCTCTAGAGAATAAAGTGAAACTGAGCATAGCAGATGGTCGGTTCAACCGATATACAAAGGTTTTATTCTATTTGTAGTTTTTTTCTCTCTTTTAGTTAAATGTTTCCTTCTGTTTTCTTAGATGATTCCAAAAATTATCGCTACGTCCGACGAATTCTGCAAACGACTGGTGCTGGAAGGAGAAAAGAAAGGTGCTCTTGAAGTTTCCGAGTAAGTCGCTGACCCACTGCGATATGGCACGTTAAAATATTGAAATATACAAATTACATGTTTATCATATTGACCGGACGAGTCCCCTTATAGACTGGTACCTTCAAGTTTTGCCTTGTCTAAGAGAATCTAGCCGCTGCTCGCCCAGTTCTTGTTTAAAATGTCTAGTAATAATCGAGGCAAAAAAATAAAAGACGTTTACAATTCTTTGTAATGCCAAATTAGAGCGCTGCTCTTGAGGAGGAGGAGGGGAGGCTACAGAGGGGAGGGTGTGTCCCTCCCCGCTAAATTTAGCGGGAAAATATTCCCGCAAAATTTAGAGGGGAAACTGAAATGGTGATGAGGTCACGTGACGTCCATTTCCCCGCTAAAGTTTGCGGGGAGATTTTTTTCGCTAAAATTCACGTGACGTCACATTCATTCCCATGACTTTACACGTGACGACACGTGTGACTTCACGAGGGTAAGATTTTCCTGCTAAATTTGGCGAGAAATTTAGCGAAAATTTCTCGCTATATCGGACGGGGGCAGGAGAGGGGGAGGTGAGGGTACGGAGGGGGAGGAGGGGCATACCCTCCACTTCGTACCCTCCCTTCCTCCTCCTCAAGAGCTGCGCTTTAATTCTGCATTACAAAGAAGCGTAAACGTCTTTCGTTTTTTTTGTGTGTCAATAACTGCTGTGTGTGACACAACAACTCTTACACTGCGGTGAACATACCGTGAAACAACCACTTATAATGCCTAATAATCTACAAAACAAGTACGCATATAGTTCAATGTATTCATAAGTGTGTGACAGGTTGAAGAAGGAAATATTTATGTGATCTTGATAAATAGGTCGCGATGTCTTCTTCTAAAATAATCTGATATATTTCCCTTGCAGGATGTTCGAGTCATGCGCCATGGATACAACGGCAGCCCTGGTCTACTCTCTAGACTTGAACACCCACGAAAATCTCGACCATCCATTGGTCAAATGCTGCAAGGGATTTTTCGGAAACCTGGGTGGATGGAAAATGATCTTGTTGTGTGAGTTTTAGTTAAATATTTTATAGTCCGCCCAACTATAATCAATATTAATATAAAATAACAAATGGACGAGTTGAGAGTCCGATTTTCATGTAATACTGCTTCAAGAGCCTCTTTTACTTTAAACATATTCTCCGCGCACAAAAAAAATAAATGTAAACAACTGTGTTCAAAAACTTACTTCTAGACTCTTTTAAGTGCCGAAGTGTCTTAATAAAAATGTAATGTTCTGATACGCTTTCATTATATCATTTATATTTACTTGCGTTTTTGAGAAAACAAAATGTTTCAGCATTAATCTGGAACCGATACGCCGTTTAGAATAACCGGCTCCTCATTAACGCAGCTTGTTGCTATTATCTGAAGGGGCGCAGTTGGGTCCCACGCGTACGTTCTAGGTGTCTAAAGGATATCTTTATTATTCTGAGAGCTAGAAATGTACGCGATAAAAAACTATATTCAGCATGCTTTAGTTGGCTGTGGGAAAGTAGAAAATATTTATTTTAAAACCGCGTCATTTTTCCCTAGAAGAGGGAATATAAAAGGAGATTTATGTATTTATTTATTTATTTATTTATTTGTTTATTTGAAATACTATCGGTCCTACGCAGGACCGAGATAGGATTGGATTTGCACAACAGAAAAAATACACGCGCTCAAAATTCACCGATCAATAACACGCATTCAACACAACGATGAAATGACAACTCTAGGAACTGTTGGCAGAAATCAATAAAACAAGGGTACGAAACTCTTCTCGAGTTCCAGCGGTCACGACATGTGCCGGTAGCTTGTTCCATTCTCGCGCTGTCTGCCAAAAGAAGGAGTACCTTTAAACAGTCCTTGGAAAACTTCTGTTCCTCCACATACCGAGCATGCTTGTTGCGGGTAATACGCGACATGCTCTGATTAATATACTGTTGCTTATTTACTAGAACCAGTTTATTCATTATGTTATAAAAAAGGTTAAGCTGCTTCTGCTTTCTCCGCACTTCAAGGTGGGGTAGATTTGCCCTATTATAAAGAGGTAACAAAGAGTCCAGCCGTCTATAACAAGAGAAAACAAAACATAAAGAACGACGTTCAACTTGCTCCAGATTTGATAGTAGATATTTAGCATGCGGGTCGCAGACTTCATATGCGTATTCTAATAAAGGCCTTATTATCATCTTGTACGCTGCGATTTCTGTTTCTGAGGAAGTGAGTTTAAGAGGGCGCCTGGTGTATCCTAGTCTTTTATTAGCTTTTTCGACTATATCGCTAACATGCGGTGTCCAACTTAGGTTTGAAGCTATAAGACTAGGTATCTAAACTCTGACACTCGGCTTAATGATTTTTTGTGCAGCGTATACACATATTCTCACGGCCGTCGTTTATGAGTGATCGTCATAATACTGTGTTGTCTAAGTTTAACGACATTTGCCACTTAACACACCATTCATTGATCTGAGACAAATATTGGTTTAGCACAGTTTGATCATTAACGGAGTTCACTTCAGCATAAATTGCACAATCGTCCGCAAATAATCTGGCTTTTACAGGTGAATCTTTGATAAGGTCATTAACAAAAACCGGAAACCAGGGGACCCAAAACAGAACCCTGTGGAACACCGGAGTTCACGTAACATTCATCCGAACTAACCCCTTCAATACTTAAAAAACTGTCGACGATTATTTCAGCAGGCCTCAATCCACCGAACAATCTTGTTTTCTCCCAAGATGGAAATCAATTTAATTAACATTTTTCTATGATTAACCTTGTCGACTTAAAGTTTAAAAATATGTATGTTTGTCCATTACAATCCAATACCTCACCAAAATGATGCATGGTTGATGATGCAGGAACAATTGGTTGATGGGGCAGAAACAAAAATGATGCAGGAACACTGAAATCGGTTACGTAAAAACCCACAAGTTTTCAGGAGTATTTTTTCAAGAAGATTTAAATTGGTCTTACCATATTGATCGGATTCTACCCGACATATTACGGGCAATCGGAATTATAAGTAGGCTAAAATGTATTCTTCCGGTTTGTTTAAAGCGCCAGCTCTATTATACTCTTTTTCATTCTCGTTTAAGCTATTGCGGTTTAGTATGGGGTACATGATCAAAGACCTGTTTATCCAAGTTACTTCTGTTGTATAAAAAAGTAGTGCGCTCAATTGCCAATGTATCATATCGGGAACACTCCCGCCCATATTTCATCAAATACTCCCTTCTTACAACAGAACAATCACTCACTCAGAAATTGGCAATATACATGTTCCACAAAATTAAACTACACCCTGAGTCCGTGCAAGAGAATTACATCAACAGGGCATCCGCATACACCTTCCGTCCTACGCAAATACAGTCGAGAATACGCACCAATTATGGTAGCCAAAAATGCTTAATTAAATCGCACAATTATAAAAGAACCATCCGAAAATACTGTCCATGATTAATAGCTGTAATACAATACACACATTTAAAACAACTATAAAAAAGTTTTCTTCGTTTTCATTTCATTTTCATTTTATTACCTTAAGGGCCTCTACGTGAGGCATTACATAAGGGGGGTACATCAAATTCACAAAAATTGGGGAAAACATTGAATGAGAACAATGAGAAAGCATCATTACACAGAGATTCCTCAAACAACTTAACAAGCTCCTGCGTAAAATGGTTATGGTCACATATCGTCACCAGGCTTGAGGGCATGCTATTCCATTCAGAAATGCATAGAGAGAGAGGTGAATATTTGTAGGCGTTAGTTCTAGAGAAAATGGGTTCGACTTTACATGGATGATCTAGGCGAGATGAAATATGATGAGCCGGGAAAATAAATGTTTTTGGTGACCATGGTATGTGCATAAAAGAGAGCCGTTCGTTTTTTCTACGAGTTTCGAGTGTATGGAGAGGTATGGACTGTTTTAGACAGGAAATGCTTTTTTGAGAATAATCGCGAGTACTAAAACGAGTGGCGCGATTTTGGACACCTTCGAGTTGGTTAATGAAATACAATTGATGAGGATTCCATATGATGGACGCGTATTCCAGTTTCGTCCGAACTAACGTAGTGTATGCTAAACGTTTGACAGACGGGTTTGCGAGATGAAGATGTCGTCTTAAAAATCCTATTGTTTTATTTGATTTAGAGCAGATATAGCCAACGTGGCACTTCCATGAAAAGTCTGCAGAAAGGAACACTCCTAGATATTTAAATGTGGCCACACGTTCTAGTTCACAAGATGAAATAGAGTAGGTGTAAGTGAGTTTATTTTTTGATCTGGAGGACGATATAATTTCAGATTTATCCAGATTAATCGTCATGAGCCAAGATTCACACCAGGTAGTTAATTTTTCTAGATCGTCTTGTAGAATTATGCAATCATTGATGGAAGAAATTTTGCGATAGAGCACAAGGTCGTCAGCATACAATCTCACGGTGGAAGAGAGGGAAGAAGCAATGTTGTTTATAAAAATTAGGAAAAGAAGTGGGCCAAGAACTGAACCCTGAGGTTCAGTTCTTGGCCCACCAACACAGATTACGTCTAACGTAATCTGTGTTGGTATTTTTATGTGTTTGTTTTATTATATCACAATTCGTATATGTCACTGTGTCCTTGTGTAATAATATAATTGTTTTGATTCGTTTTGTTTTCTGTACATTTTGCTGCTGGGCTGTGCAGGAGGACGAGCCCTTGTCAGGCGCCTTTTGCCCTATCCTCCCGAGACGTTTGTCTGGATAAAGTATATTCAATTCAATACTAGCTGCGTGACCCTTGACAGCCCCTTACGGAAGCCGTGCTGGTACAGGCTGAGCACGTTATTTGATAATACAAATTGCCGGATATGTATAGAAACGATATGCTCAAGGACTCTGCACGATGTAGACGTTAACGCGATGGGCCCATAATTGCATACTCACTTAGCATCTCCACTTTTCAGTATTGGAATTATCTTGCTGAGCTTCCAGTCATAGGGATTCATAAGGGAAGGTGCTAGTCAAATTCGACTTTTTAAAAATTAGGTGTAGATACATTGCCGTCCATTCTGCATATCGCTTTAGAAAAGAAGTTAGAATTTCGTCTGGCCCCACGGATTTGGAAGTTTTTGAGGCAAGCAGCAAAGTTCAAAATACCCTGAACTGACAGTTGCTGGTCATCATCAGCCCGTGAAATTTCAGCAGATGATCCAAACTCTACGGACTGCTTATCGTCTTTCGTGAAGACGCTTGCAAAGAACTCGTTGAATTAATCCGCGTCGCCATTCTTTTTCCTTTTTTAATTGAATAGCTCCTCTCGTCACCCAAGGATAGCTCATTCGTTTACGTTTTCTTTTCAAGGGTACATACATATTTATACATTTATCAACGAGTGTTTTAAATTTCAACCAGAGGTCATTACCACTTACTGACTCATCACGACTAAGTTCCTCAAATGGTCCATAGCGGTAATCTAGCTCGTCGAGAATAGCCGTGTCATTGGCCATGCCCAAGTCTCTGTAGGACGAAACGGGTCTGGGCGTTTTTCCAGACGGCGCCAAGGTCATGGTCACGCTAACTATCACGTTATCTGAAAAACCGGGGAAGAGTTCAACTTCGTACGGCCGAGATGAGACCCCTTCGCTTAAAAATATGAGGTCGAGAACTGACTTACCATTGCCTTGAGTGTATACTCTCGAACAACCTGTTTTAGCCCATGGGAAAAACATAAATCTAGGATCCCAGCGGCAGTTTTACGTTCTTGCGTTCCAGGCAACATTTCTTCATCCCACATTACGCCCGCTATATTAAAATCTCCCGCAAGTACAACATTTTTGTGCTCTACGCGCAAGTGGCGCAGAACGTCATCTAGTTTATCAATGGCTAAGTATTAAACTTTTTGCACTCTAATTTCTCAGTGAACGTTCTGGTGGCAATGCAACGATGCTCACAACCTGGCAAAGCGAGGCAAAAAATCAACTTCTGCACTCAGCGCTAAACAAAAAGAAAAAAAAAACGATAAAAACTTAGTATG